CCCACGAATACATTATCACAATTAACATCACATAATAAGGGCCACTATTTGACCCTACCATCAACATAACTCGACACCCAACCTGCCCTTACCCATATCACACTTAAACATTACAAATTGGCACACAATGTACACATTAACATTACAACACATCACAATGCCATCCACCCAATCTTTAGAATCAAACCTCAACGACACAATTTCACGATTATGTAACAAAAAAACCAAACAACACATCAAGAAAATACATACTTATTGCCATGGGTGCCATCAATAAACATCGATGCCGCCGGTGGTAGCTGTGGAACACACTGTGAGATGCTGGACAAAATTGTAAAATGGCCCAATGACACGACGGCCGCAATGTATTCGTGAGGAGGGTTTCAGCAATCTAGGGTTTTTGGGGGAGGGGGGAATGGAATGTTAATTGGGGAATGAACAATAATATTACCAAATCAAACAGTGATACACACAAATTGATTGTCTATCATCACCGCAAAATCGAAATCAACATTGAGAACTTTCCATATTCACCTTCCCGTTTTGATTGTACAAGAGGGAAACCAAAGCCCACAACAATATGCCGCCATTTTGGTAAATTTAACATTAGGTAAAACCCATATTTACCCTCATAATTCACTACATAAGCTTTTCAAAACATGGGCTCAAACGTCTTTAACATTAAAATGGGATTGATCAGTCTATGAAAAAAAAAAAGGCAAAACTATATGATTCAACATTTCTTGATTTGGGATTTAATGGTACTTTATTCAAGTTTTTTGAATAACTTCAAGAACTGTAGATTATAATTTCTTTATTCATAACTTTTATCACAAATATCATAACTTCTTTTTACAATATGCACACTTCTAAGAGTACACGTTATAATATCATTTTCCTTTCATCTATAAAATTCTTTATTTTGCTGGTAATTCTGACTCCTTTTTATTATACGCTTCCTTGCATCAACCTACCACTACCAATAACCACTAGGGGTGTTTGGAAACTTGGTTCTTGGATTTATTTATTTATTTATTTATTTTCACTACAAGACAAATGTTTTACAAAATTAAAAAAAAAAAATAAATCCAAACAAAATATCACATCAAACCCGATAATTATTTTATTTTTTCTCTCACAAACATTACATCCAACCACAAAAAAAACCCAACTATCTTCCCAAACACAAAAAAAAATTTCTCTAATAATATTCTAAAACTAAAAAAATCTACAAAAAAACCCACTTTCCAAACACCCACTATAATGCGTTTGAGTTTAGCTAAATTACATGTGGGCTCAAATTAAAGATAGTTTAGTTAATGAGGGTTGTTAATAAAAAAGGTTAATGATTTGTCCACTGAATTTGTCCAAATGAGTCTCTTTTTCGGAAGAGACTCCCATGCACGAGTCTCTTCCCAAGAAGAAACTCATTCGGACAAATCTGGACTAAACAAATTTGGTGAATGTAGTAGTACTGAATAGAAAAACACATAATGTCATACTATCAATTATTCCAATATGTATTTTGTATATTTTAAAATATAATTACATATTTTTATTCATTATTTACACAATTCAATATATTTTATACATATTTTTTAACAACAGATTTAACCATTGTTTTTAGCATTTCTCATTAAAGATATCATTCAGTCCCATTCCATCTTATGGCAAAAATATCTTGTTCTCGTTGTTTGTTGTTCTTCCTCTTTTCCTTTGAGAGGGGGAGTTTACCCTATTCACCTTCTTGACAGAAGCATTACTTTACCAACACAACGGCAACTTCAAGAATTTTTGTTAGTGATGTCATTCAAAAACTTTTGGATAAATTATAAACACACCTTCTGAAATTTATTTAAATTACAAATTATCTCACGTGATTTTAGAAATTATATTATGCATCCTAAAATTTCTAATTTCATAACAAATAGGTCTTTTTATTAATAAATCGTTAAGTTAATTAACAGTCTTTAATAATGTTAAAATTTTATTTCTATTAATATTTCAGATAATTTTATTATTATATATGTGAACAGTTAGAAATTTCACTTTTTTAATTAATTCTATTAAATAAAAAATTTTGACAGAAATGTATTTATAATTTTTCAAACCACACGAGGCAATTAGTATTTTAAGCAAACCTCAGAGAGTGTATTTGTAATTTACCCAATCTTTTTAATATCATTCACTTTATTTGATTGTATTTTTTGTTATTTGTTTTCCATTTTTTTTTTGGGGGACAAAATACCAAAAATTTGTTGCATTCTTCAATTTTTGTGTTTTGGAAAACAAAGTGCGTTGCAATTTTTGAAAACAAATTGTCAACTAAATAGAGTGATTTTCATTTTGGTTAATCTGTATGTTTGTGTAATCTGTATACCAGCACCACCAGGTGTAATTGGCCATGTGTTTTTGGTTCTCCTTCTTTTCTCTGTTTCTTGTTGGCTCCTTGCCAACTGGAGCTCCTAGCTTGTGTTAGCTTCGAGCTCCTCTTTATTGATGTATCCTTGTCTTTGTTGGTTTCATCAATAAAGATCTTCTATTTCGCCGTTCAAAAAAAAAGAGTGATTTTCATTTTCATTTTTTTGTTTTTCATGTTTTCAAGGAAAAAATTTAAAATTTAACAACACTAAAGTTAGTATTATTTTGTATTAAAGCAAACATATTTTGAAAATTCAAATAATGTTTCTAAAGAAAGAGTAGTAATTGAATTTATTTATTATTTATGTTTTTGGGATAAAGTACACAACCAATTTACATGTAGTTTAAAAAAAAATGACATCAAATTGCGACTCTATATAATTGAGATCTTAATTTGAACAAACCACATCAAATTTTGAAATAATTTGTATTAACACACACAATTACTCGATGAATGAAACCCGTAATATAAATCAAAACTGGATGTATTTTTTATTTTTATTATTTTATGACAAAATTCATTTTACTCCCTCATGATATAACTGATAGTACTTTACCACATGTCTTTTAAAAATAGCCACATACCTCTCATATAGCTTTGGACTAAAATGCTACATTTTTATTTTCCATCCAAATTAATGGAGAGTGTGTTTTGCATGCCCATTTTGAGAGTAGGGAAGAAAAAAAAAGGGTCCAACTTATCTCTAGCCGGAGATCAAGACTAGACCCTCCTGTCCCCTCCATGGGCCACTTTTGGGCCTTGCTTCAATGATCCGAACCGTTCACATTTTAGGATTTATCGAATACATTATCCTTGTAAAAAATAAGTTGATCAGATAACGGCAACTACACGTTCGAATAAGTTTGAAGTTGCATTTTAATATAAAAAGTGCTATTAAGTTATACCATGATGAGGTAAAATAGAATTTTTTCCCCCTTATTTTTAATAGAGAAATGAATTGTCATTACCTTTAGCATTGGACGGGTACAAGCCACTTTTTCCGGTGGTCACAACTATATGAATTATCATATATTTACATATATATATATATATATATATATGTATATATTTGTGTGTGCGTGTTTGATCACGGTGATGAGTGAGAGTAGAGAAAAGGAAAGGGGCTGAATTTCTCTGTGATAGATGGGAGGGACCTTAGATATCAAAAAATAATATCGTGGATCTCTTCCATTACGAAAAGTGGGAGAGGGAGCCTAGACCAATTTTCCCTATAAAAATATTGTATGTCATTTATCTTATAAAATTTTATTATCAAGGATCTTAAACTAAAATCCCTTAACACAAATACCTTAATTTATTTATTTATTTTTTTTTTTAGAGAGGATAAGCAATTACACAGAGGAAGACGCCTCAGACATCACCAACGCCATTAAAGAAGGAGGAACCTCCTCCATCCAAATACGTGGCGTCTCAAAAGCAAAGGCTAGCCTACTTAAACAATGAGCCACCGAATTGCCATCCCGACAAACATGCGAAACCGATGAAGAAGGAAACCGCAAAAGGAGCGCATGAGCCACCCCCACAAAATGACCATAGCAAGAGAGGTTATCCGCCTTACCTTGAATTGCAGCCACCACATTTTGAGAGTCACCTTCCAGATGAATATGGTCCAATCCCAAATCACAAGCCAATTGAAGGGCTTTTATCGCTCCCATAGCTTCCACACAATCAACGTCCTCCATATACTGTAGCCGCTCAACCATAGACGCAATGACTTCCCCATGACAGTCCCGAATAATAATGCCAACCCCAGCACTGGCATGGGCCTTCCTAACAGAGCCATCAAAATTCAATTTGAAGACACCCTCGCGTGGCGCAACCCACCTTCGCATCCGAGCCTGGGCCGGAGGAAGATGGCCACGGTCTTGAGCTTGATCATATTCGGAAATAACTACTTTAGTCTAATTTTACATTTTAAAATAAACTTAAACATATATATAATTAAATCATAAATTAAACTAAACACTTTAATTTATTACCATAAAGTTATCTTATTTAATAATATTTTAAGTTAAACATATACATATATAACAAATTAAATCACAAATTAACGTAAATAACTTAATTTAGTACCATAAAACCTTCATCTAATTTTTAATTTCTAACCTAATTTACTATTTAATAACATTTGAAATTTCACATATATATAATGAATTAAATCATAAATTAATTACAGTGTCTATATAGATAGGGTATATATATACGTATATATATCATAATAACTAATTAAAATTAAAAATTAAGTTTGTTAAAAAAATATTTGGGAAACTCTAGTTTCTTCCATATTTTTGTGTATGACTTTAATTTTTTTTTTTTTGTTTTTTTGACTTAATCATGGAGGTAAATTTATTTATTTATTTAGAAACAAAACCAAAATTAGAAAAATAAAAAGACATAAAGGGTATAATTATCTTTTTATTGTTAACATTAACAGAGTTGAAGTTGCATTTTAATATAAAAAGTGCTATTAAGTTATACCATGATGAGGTAAAATAGAATTTTTTCCCCCTTATTTTTAATAGAGAAATGAATTGTCATTACCTTTAGCATTGGACGGGTACAAGCCACTTTTTCCGGTGGTCACAACTATATGAATTATCATATATTTACATATATATATATATATATATATTTTCTATGTTACAGAGATTAGTTCAATTTACAATCACAACACACTACAAAAAAATCATAGTTAAGTGACAACCATTTAGCATTCACCGTGGCGATATGCTAGAAACAGTGGCTTGATTGTTTACAAAATGATCTGTGGATGAAGGTGGTTCGATATGAACAACCCTGCCAATAGAAAATGCAGGTTGATTTGGTTCAGGAAGTGTTGCTGATTTACTTCCCAACAAAACCACCACAGATGACATATTGGGTCTATCTTCCGGATCTTCTTGGACGCACAGAAGCCCAATATGGATACATCTTACAACTTCTGCCATGGGGCATGACCCTGCCAACGATGGATCTAAAAATTCTACTTCTTTTCCTTCATTCCATAGTCGCCACGCCTGTAAAATAGCATTGTTTGAAGTTAAATGAGCTATTGTCACATTCTAGTTATCTGAGTATTTGTAATTGAAAAGGGGGTTGAAAAAACATACATAAGCAAGAAGTGTCTGAGCATGTTCTGTAAGGTAAAAGCCACTGTTTCTTTTCCCACTAATGATCTCAAGCAAGATCACTCCGTAGCTAAAAACATCAGATTTAGCAGAGAATAATCCACCCATTGCATACTCGGGAGCCATGTATCCACTGTATCAAATATGATCATTATTGTATCCTCTTTTCAATCAAAATATGTAGATTCAATGAAGGATAAAGGAAAGAGCAAGGGTTTAAATAGCATCGGGTCAAGATTGGTATTGGTCACGATCAATATCAAGTGCAGTAAGCGATATGTATCGAGAATCAGGTACAGTCGAAAATAGCTTTATAGGGCTTTATATATAGGGTTTGAACCGATATGTATTGGTATTTGGGAGTTGGGCTTTATATATAATACGTGTGTAATTTTCATTCATCAGTATTGGAAGGACTGAAACTTAATACCTATCAACTGATATTTAAAACTATAAGAAAGAATAAACTTACTATGTTCCTACAACTCTTCTGGTGTTAGCCGTATTTTGGTTTTCACCAAAAATTCTTGCCATTCCAAAATCTGATATCTTAGCAACCATTTCTTGATCCAATAGAACATTATTAGGCTTTAGATCTCTGTGTATGATTTTAAGCCTTGAGTCTTCGTGCAAATAAAGAAGTCCCCGAGCAATCCCAAGAATAATGTTAAGACGTATATCCCAATGAAGTTCTGCACGTTTCTCTGAATCTGAAATCATATATAAAATCAAAGCTACCTGAGATAATGTTTTTTTTTTTTTTTTTTTTCTTGTTGGGTTCATTTTCTTAGCTATATTGAGCAGCAAGTAAGTCTAAAAAGATACGAGAACAAACCAAATATGAAGAGATCAAGACTTTTGTTCGGCATGTACTCATATATGAGCAACTTTTCTTCTCCCTCTATGCCACAACCCACAAGCCTCACAAGGTTTCTATGTTGAAGTTTTGCTATTAGTATGACTTCGTTCTTGAACTCCTCTAATCCTTGCCAAGATTTCCTCGATAGCCTTTTAACTGCTATTTCCTTGCCATCGGACAGGATACCCTACAAACATCAGTTGAATATTAATTTATCAAAAAGGATAAAGAATTACAAATTTGTTTAATATCAATTGATATGATGAGTATAGAGATTTTGAATAACTACTAATGATATTTACTGATATATCAGCTATTATATGACCGTATCACTAATACTATACATGTCTCGATACTACTATCCAGAACCATATGGATGACTGCATAATTGATCATATTAAACAGGGAAGAAGCTGTTACCTTGTAAACAGTGCCGAACCCACCTTTTCCAAGCTTATTTGAATCAGAAAAGTTGTCTGTGGCTGCCTTTATGGTAGCCAACTCCATGAAAGGCAGTTCCTGAGAACTGACAAATTCACCTTCTTGATTAATGTCAACACTAGGTGGGTTTGCCAATTGATGTAACAATGTACTTCGGCTTTTTTCCTCATCTGCATTGCAGGAGAATCTTCTGTTAATGGTAGTTATTACATTGATATGTGAACGTAGCTTGTTGGTACTTGAGCATTTGGGCAACAATAAGTTTTCAAATACAGAAACAAAATACAAAACCGCGGACACAGTCCAATTTGTGTTTGGTTTTGGTGTTCTTAAACTTATTGTTTTGTAAATTTACCCTTTCGTGTTCGGTTGCTTCGCAGAAGCCAAATAACACAACAGCCAGCAGCAAGACCTACGACGAGCACAGATGTTGTCGCACCGGCAACTAGTATAGCCACCTTAATCTTCTTTCTGTCCCCTGTTTGTTTAGGCAAAAAACCTTATAAACAATAAAATTTTAATGACAATAAACTTGTTTGGAAAATTTTATTGAAACGCCCCTTTTAGGAAAAGTTTTTAAAATCATTCTGGCCCAAAATTTAAACCATATGGGAGTAATATGTGCAAAATAGCAATGATTTTAGACAAACAATATGGTTTTCTTGTTTTCTTCAAGTATATGTAAAGCATAGACAAAGTGGCTAATTCAAATTCAATTTCCTTACCATTGACAGTAGTTTCGTTGTAAAACTGGTATAGCTGAAACCTCATGTTGCAGAATCTGCTGAAAACAGTACCGCCTTGGCGATAATCACAGCAGCCATCAAGTTCTACAAATTCAAAATTCAAACAAAGTCTACAGTCACTTTGAGAGATGTCTCTTGTGCACTGTACAAGCCCATAAACCGTTTCATTCGTCGAAATTTTTGTTTTACCAGTAGCAAACATGAGGTTAGAAGGATTGAATGCAGCTTGATCGGAGAGTGTATTCATGAAATCCTTCAAAGCTACAACAAAACCATCACGGCCCGATATATTTTTCTCATCTTTATTCGATTCAGGAAACATTCCAGTAAAGGCATCCCAGGAAGAGAAAGGCCGGTATGAGTACTGAACTTGACAGAATTCATGCCATATAATTGCATTTTGGGTTGGACACACTGTCATGATCTCTTGGCTTGCATTCTGAATGCAATCCCGACACACTTCAGGAGTGACATCCCCTCTGCAAAGTGCTTTCCCATAAACTTGATCAGTATTGTTTCCGAATACAGTGCTGTTGAAGCCTTGACTTAGAGGAGTGTTCGACCATAGAGACTCAAGAAGGCTCTTGAGATTGTTCCCAAATGGGCTATTTTGCGTGTAATTAGTGGGACTAACATCACAAGATATGACATTAGGTTCTACATGAACAGAGGTGGAGATCATGAACAGAGACACCACTAAGAAAATTATTGCTGAAAGTGCATCTTTGTCAATCTTCCTCTTATGAGATCTCATTTGTGCCTACTTTACCCGAAAAAGCTTGAAAGATAAGAATAGTAATTGGACAACAATAGGAGAAGAGTCACAGAACCAGACACATAATATATATATACTATGTGCCTGATTTTGTGACCGATTTCTATATTTGTAGCAGAACTATAGTAGAAGATAAGCCTCGGATTGAAAAAGTCCATCAACAAGTTTTCAATGGGACAAACCGATAATTTTCTCAGAAACTTCGTAACCACAATTAATTTGACTGGAATTTCAAGATCGTTGAGGAATATGAGTTTGACATGGAGGTGTTTATTGGTTAAAAAAATACTAACAATAAGAGTTTTGGAACATTGAAAAGTCATGACCGGCGTGCAAGACTTTAAATAAAAATAATTGATCAACTAACGTATATAGATAGACTCTGAATAACAAGTTAATAGACTGTTCAAAGAATACATTTTCAGATGATGTTTCAAGTTTTGGCTTTTAATACAAATTAAGTACATTACTAGTAGTAGTTTTCAGGGTACTAATACTGAGAATTGGTTCAGTGGTTTGGTTTTTCAATTGAATATTTAGGCGTCACTATCTATGGGTAGTTAGCCAAAATTCAAAATTCTCACAGGGAATTGAGAATTATTATGCATCAGTTAGCTTGGTTGAGCCAACAAAAAAATTAGAAAAATTACATATAAAGAAGAGAGAGAGAGAGAGAGAGCAAAACAAAACAAAATCTGGGTTCTACTTGAAAGGGTAAATCAAAATATTTCAAAAAATGATGTTGGACTTCCAAATATAAAGAATGAATCAGCGAGTTTGAGTTAAGTAATAGGTTATTCAAATTTGTTTTTGAAACTTGAAGAGTTTTAACATGTTTAAATTTGATTTGTTAACAAAATGAGCTAATTTTAGATAAATATTAAAAATATCAAATACGAGTCGAGTTCAAGTAACTGAGAATTTGTTTTACATTCTTGTTAAAATCACATAGAAGAGGCCAAAGTCAGTAAATTTAATAAAAAATTCAACATCACATTTGCATTGTTAACAAAATGAGTTAATAACCCACAGTTCCATTCCTCATTAGTCTCGCATGTTTATAGAGATGGCAATTTTATGGTTCATTGTTGAAGTAGGTTAGCCTTTGATTTTGATTCACCTCGCATTTGGATGGAGGAAGTTCCTCCCTCCTTAATGGCGTTGGTGGCTTCGGAGGTTCCCTCTTCTTTGTAATTGCTTTTCCTATCTAAAAAAAAAAAAAAACAAAATGAGTTAATTTTAGATAAGTATTAAACATATTGAACATGACTAGAGTTCAAGTAACTGAATTTGTTTTACATTCCTATCAAAATCAGAGTAGGAGGCCAAAATGAATAAATTTAATAAAAAATTTAACATCACAAACAAGTGGCAATGTGATTAAAAGTTACTAAACTTCTTAATATAAAATTAAAGAGAGAATCAAATTGTTGGGAACAAGATTTAGATTGACTTGGCAGCATATAGTTGTTTGTAACATAAAAAGAGACATTTTTGCTAATATCATCCTTAGCCTAATGTTTATATAAAATGACTTTGACATTGTAGGCTTCATTTTATTTTGCTGGAAGGCGGCTTGAGCCAGATCTCTCAGTATGAGTAAGCATGAGACAAAGGCCACTGATCTTGGCCAGCCAGCCAATGCATTATTTGTCTCAGACAACTTGTTAGGACCACATGTCAACAACCAAATTTTATAAAAGCAAGCACTATATATATATATTAAAAAAAAATATCAAAAAAAGTATTTTTTGGCGTTTCTTCTTTATTTTTTAAAACATTATGAAAAGATGCTGTGGAGAAAGTTCGGCGTGTATTTTAGATATCAGGAAAGTTGTTGAGAAATTACTAGCATTAATTTTCTTGTATTTAATTAAGATGTCAAGGGTTTAAGTCTTTCACTTGTACGAATTTCTCTCCATTAAGTTATAGCCACTACTAAAAACAAAAAAAAACAAAAAAAAAGAAAAGAAATATATTGCACTTTTAATCCCTATACTTTGATCCCAATCTCAATTTGGTTCATATAATTTTAAATTGAACAATTTGGTCCATGCACATTAAAGTCTAGTTTTAATTTAATCATTTCAGTCAAGATGGAGGTTTAAATTGGTTATGAGTCTAAATTAATGAAAATTTGGATTTAAAGACCAAATTGGAACTAGACTTTACATGTACAGATTAAATTGTTCAAATAAAAATAATACAGACCAAATGAAATTTGAGTCAAATTATGAGATTCCTAACTATCCTCCTATAAAATAATGAAATTAATATTTAAGTAAGCCTTAGGGGGAATATTTGTAATTTACCCTATATTATAATATTAAAACCATTGGGAATAATTTTCAAACAAAATGAAAGCTACAAATACAAAAATATTTAACCAAAAAAATGCATAGAAGGCAATGTTGACATTCTTTACACTTTTCTTGAAAATGTCATAAATTCCAATATTTATGATGAACACAAATTCATTGTGTATCGTCACCTTGATGGAAGGCTGCTACAAGAGAGATTTATTACTAATTTTTTATTTTAAATTCTAACAAAATATAGAAATCCCGAAATAATTTAACTAATGAATATAATTAAATGTTGCTTTCAAAATAAAAATAAAAATATTGGGTGGTTTTGTCTGGTACTCTCCTTTTTTATATTATAGTTCTGGTTGTTGATGATGTGCAACTATTATGTTCTGGGGGTGATGTCTGGTTTTACAGTGCATTTTGCATATAAACATCTCATTCACCAGTCTCCATCCTTATGTCAAATACAATGAATCAATTACAGAAAAAATTAAGATATATATAATAAAAAACTGGTTGATAGTTACTTGCTTAATACTCATTTGACAATAAAAAAACATAAAAATAAAAAACTGTGGGCTTGTTGGCCTCTCATATTGTAGTCAATTGTTTAATCACATAAAAAAATTTCTGAATGTTACTGGCCTATGTTCATTCAAACAAGTCCAAAAGAAAAAAAAAAAATATTTTCTGTTTAAGTATCAATAATAATTTTAATATTTTATTTTCATTTCAGATAATTTCTTTTTTCCTTTTTTGTGATGCAAAATTATTATTTAACAAACTTCTGTAATTGAGTTTTTCTAATGTGTCATTTTCATTTGATAAAATTGCTAATCTTCTAAATCTTTCTTGTCACATAGTTGAGTGCAAGTATAATTTTGTCAATTTTAATTCTGGAAAAACTTTTTTATCTCGAAAAAACTGTTATAGGTATTTTTAATTTTGTGAGCAATGCATCTATGTCAATTTGCGTTGCATAATAAAAAAAAGACTGAGAAGTTTACTCCGAAAATTCAAGATAAGAACTGGAAAACTTTTTGAAAATTGTTCTTTCCTCCCTCTCATAATAGATGACTCACCATGAGAAAGACTCAAGATAATTCAAGATAATAGACGACTCAAGATAACAACTCCCATTGGGGCAATTTTTATTATGTTTATCAAAGTTTTCCCTAACAACTCATAATGATAATTACACTACTACACTTTGAAACCATTAATCCACTCAGCTGCATCGATCACCGGGGCATAACAACAGAAATTGTTAATTCATTAATAGAATAATCTTTATCATTTGTTTCATAGTGATCTTTGAATATCCCAACAGAGAAGGCAGGTCGTTCCGGTTGACTAAGAGTAACAGCTTCACTTTTCAGCATAACCACAACCGATGACATGGTAGGCCTATCATACGCATCTTCTTGGACACACAATAAACCAATATGCATATATCTTAAGAACTCGTCAATATCACAAGACTCCATCAGTAATGGATCGATCAATTCCATCCCTCTCCCTTCATTCCATAATTTCCATACCTATTGCATCACCGAGCCAAATACACTTATTCAAGCAAAAAAAACTTGGAACAAGACTATCAATATTGAGAAGTATAGTCTAACTCAAGTCGAATAAGCTTACATATGCTATAAGGCTAGGGGCGCACTTAGTAAGATGGAAACTAGCATTCCTCCTCCCAGTTATGATCTCAATCAAAAGGACACCAAAGCTGAAAACATCAGATTTGACGGAATATAGTCCTTCCATAGCAAACTCTGGAGCCATGTAACCACTATCCAAAAAGGGAAAGGATTAGAAAGACGTTTGAAATAGGAACCAAAACATGTTATAAGACAATAATAACTCATGTGATTGACGAAGTGAAAAAGTGATTGAAAAAGAAATAGTGAACTTACTATGTTCCAACGATCTTAGCAGTGTTAGTAGCATCATCACTTCCTCCGAAGATCCTTGCCATTCCAAAGTCTGAGATCTTTGGATTCATTTCACTGTCCAATAACACATTGCTTGGTTTCAAGTCCCTATGAATGATTCTAAGCCGAGAATCCTCATGAAGATATAGCATTCCTCTTGCAATTCCATTAATGATATTCAAACGCCTGCTCCAGTTCATTTGCGCACGCTTCCTAGGATCTAACCAAAAATAAATTTATAGATTAGGAAAAAATCCATATTCATATGTCAAATTTGTATAGAAAAATAAAATATTGAAGTTGAAAATTTCATAAAAGAAAAGAATACAAACCAAAAAGGAAGACATCGAGGCTGCCATTGGGCATGTATTCGTAGATGAGCAACTTTTCGTCTCCATCTATGCAAAAGCCCAGAAGTCTGACAAGATTTTTGTGTTGAAGTTTCAATATTAATAAAACTTCATTGGTGAATTCATCTAAACCTTGCTCAGATACACTTGAGAGCCTCTTCACAGCAACTTCTTTACCATCAGGTAGTTGACCCTGGAAAAAATGTATCAAGCCATTAAAACTAGAAAAAAAGAAAGAAAAAAAAAATACAAATGAAAATAAAAAAAGATTAGGATTTCATGTTTGCAGAAAAGAAAAAAAGAAAAAAAAAATGTTATCACCTTATAAACAGGACCAAAACCACCTTGTCCAAGCTTATTTGAATCAGAGAAGTTATCAGTGGCTGCACTTAGCGTCACCAAATCAAAAAATGGAAAATTTTGAGAGTTCAAGTTGTCCCTTGCTTGCAAATTTTGATGTTGAACATCTATGTTATTAGGGTCCCCAATATTGTATAATTGATCTTCTCGGCCAGAAACTTGTCTTTCCCCTGAAATTTAAAAAAAAATTAAATTAAATTGAAGTTAAAAAATTAGTTAGATGTTTAGTTTCAGATTTATAAAAGAAAAGATAATAGTTGAGAGTCAAGGGAAAACAAGAATTTAATTTGTACTAGCTAGAATCATTACTTGTCTTACTTTGATTCCTTATGGCAAGACAGTAGCAGACACAAAAACCCAAAAGTACTACCATTAGAATTGCTGATACAATTGCAACAATCGTCCAATCCCTCCTGCTTGCTTTGGAATCTAAGAAAAAAAGAAATACTAAATTCTGTCAAGAAATACTTTTTGTAGAACAAATTACAATATTAACAATTTGTTAACACTTACTTTCAAATATCCTCGGGTTTTCAGAAGTTGCGCCTTCATAAAAAGCATAGAACTCATACCTTAAGTAGCAACTGGGACTAAGAAGTCTAGCGCCACGAGACTCGGAACAACAACTTGAAGTGTTTGCTATTGCTATTTCAAGGCATGTATTACAGTCATATGGAGACAAGTCTCTTGTGCACTGCACGAGAGCGTATATTGTTTCAGTGTCTGTAAAGTTCACCGCTCCAGTGGCATACATACCATATGAAGGATTGAATGCTGCAAGCCTGCTAAGATTATGCAACGTTTCATTCACAACAGAACTAAACCGGCCTAATTCATCACCTGAAACATTTTGTTTGTTGTCTTTCCAAATGTTTCCCGTCACATCCAAGTGCCCAAAGAATGATTCATTGGCGTAGCGCAACTGGCACTTTTCCTCCCAGACAACCGCTTCGTTACTGTTTTCGCAAAGCTTTTGGATGTCTTGTGATGCACTTGCTATGCAGTTCTTGCAGTCATCTTTCGATACAAAGTTGTAGCAGAGAAAGAGGCCGAAAAGTCTGTCTTGGTCATTTCCCGTGGTGGTGTTGAAGGAATTGGAGACGGAAGAATTTGATGACATAGAATGAAGAAGATTTTCGAGATTAGATTGAAATAGATTGTTATCTGTAGAAATAGTTGTGTTCGAACAAAATTGATAGGGTGGGGCATCATTTTTAGAAATAGTTGTGTTTGAACAAAATTGACAGGGAGGGGCATCGGCGTGAATAAGATCATGAAGATGAAAAAGGAAATAATAAAGCAAAAGCAATTTGACTGTTTTTGGAAATGGAAACATGACTCTCTCCTCTTCTTGAGTGCACTGTGATATGAACTATGAAGTCAATCAACTGTCTACAATTTATGCTACCATGGAGTTTTAAATAAAATACAATTTGAGTTAAAAGGAACTTTTCCTGGAAAAGATTAGGCAAATACCAGACCAATTGAATTACTTTACATGACGAACAGATGATAAAATAATTTTCATTTCTATGGTATTGTGGTCAAGCTGCTTGTATTCAATGTTGATTAGTCAATTCTGCTAAAAGGGAAGAAAGTAGGAAACTGACTTTGTACTATTTTGTAATTGTGATGAAATTTTAGAGAGAAAACTAACAAGGATATTACCAAAACTCTTTCAATTATTAGAAAATATTACGTTACTCTCCTTAAAAATATACATATTGACCCTTTTAACTCTGAAAACTGTACAAAGGCACCCCTTCTAAAGGATTTAGAGGGGGTGAAAGTGATATATTTTTGTAGTTGAGAGGGTCAATATATATGAATTTATAGATAAAAGGAATACAATGATATTCACTTAATAGTTGAGGGGTCTTAGCGTAATTAATTATTTTTTTGGGAGCTCAAAATTTCTTTGTTAGGTGATACGCATTTTCCTAGAAGGTGCTATGGGAGAAATTGTTGTATGTTGTTTGGCCTGGTTTGATTGTTTGGATTGAATATAAGGGGATGAGAAGAATATTTACTCCTAGCAATATAGGATGTCATATAATTTGTTAAGAATATAAGATGAATTATATATAATATTAGTTGATTTTTACATGCTTGGTTAGAGTATGATATAATGGGCAAAAATTTATATTTTGCACCCTAAAAGGGGCAAATTGTAAGAAAGTTTTGAATTTTTGGGTTAATTATAAAACCCCCCCAAGGTTTCACCCGTTTTTTCCTTTAAATTCCAACGTTTCAATTTCGACATATTAAACCCTAGAATTTCATCTGTGTTTTAATGTGCCTCCTCCATCCATCTTTGTCTGTGTAAAGTAACGGAAGGGGTTTAAAGTAAACAAACATTGGGGTTTAAAGTGAAAAACACGTGAAATCTTGGAGTTTATTTTGTAATTAATCATTTTTTTAGTTATTTTAATTTAAAAAAATGGATAATTACACAAAAAAACTCCAAGGTTTCACATATTTTTCACTTTAAACCCCATTCGTTACCTTACACAGAAAAAGATAGGCGGAGGAGTCACATTGAAATATAGATGAAATTCTAGGGTTTATGTTAGGATTTTGTAATTAGCAATCCTGTTTGACAAAATTTCTTTCAGTTGTACTTTTATTCGCTTTTATGTTTCAGTGAGACTGTGAGTGTTTAGATACGAATCCAACCCGAATTGTGCCTGTGTAGAGGAGTTTGTGCTAGCATTCTGTATCTTGAGTATTCCTTATTTGCCACTTCGCCTACTATGTACGGGATTGAGTGGTCATTTGTGCGCTCAAGCAATGAAATGGAGCTTTCAGTATTTCAGTCTGCATTCAGGACTTCTGAAAAACTTGATTTACCGTTCAAGCGGTGAAGTGTGCGCTCGAGTGGTCTTTGCAGTTCTATTTTCTATAAAGTGTGTCGTTCACTATATTTAGGGTTTAATTCGTCCAAATTCTTAGAGAGGATAAAAATACAAAGTATTCAACATTGGAGGGTGTTTCTATAGGAGTTTCCTTGATGTATAGGAGGTGATCAATTGATCAACGAACTAAAGAGTATCAAACATCAAGGGTTAATTTTGTTCCTTTATTCATATAAAGGGAGAGATGTTCATCGATGGATTCTAGGGAAGTTGGGCTTGAAGATTTGGTAGATTTCGGAGTGGCTCATTATCATGGATTTGACATCGACGTTGTGGATTCAACGTTGGCCAATGCAGTTTCGCGGTGAAAACGGTGTTAAAAAAGGCACATCGGGTTTGGTTCAATTCGAGCATGGATTCATTAGGTAATTGACGGTACTCATGTGTAGTTCCTTTTTATCTTCTTAGTGGATTGTTTTGTAACTTTGGCCTGCGGTTTTATTATCACAAATGGAGGTACTCTAATTGTGATTTTTTTCACGTTAAATCATTCTGTCGATTTGTGGTTGATTATTTAATTGGGATTGATATTTACAGTTTAAAATTGATACATAATCACAAATCAATATCTCGAGGGTTTTTAGATTTTTTTAGTTTAATTTGTCGAAATTGAAATATTGGGATTTAAAGTGAAAAATACGTGAAACCTTGGGAATTTAAAATTTTTTTTTTTCATTAACCCTTGATTTTTTAGGATAAAAGTGATCCATGTTTATAGTGTGTTATGCTAATTTGTGGTAAAAGTTACAAGTAAGAAATTTATGGTGTGTAGGTAAAGTAAAAATTACACAGTTTGTGGTTAGTAAAAGATTATGCTTTTTGTGATGAGAAAAGTTGCGCTATGTGCGGGAATAGTAATATGTAATACCATTTGGGGCCAACCATTAATTCCATTTTGATAATTTGAAAAGTTCAATTTTTAGGCTGCAATAGTTAGATCATCTATGAAAAAAGTTAAATTAATCCAATAATCGTAGCAGTGTTAGTTAATGACATTTATTTGCAAAAAAATAAATGACAAATATTATTTGAAAACTAAATTATTCATTTTTCGGGAGACAAATGTAATAAACTAACGTAGTTATATTTATCAGATCGACGTGATTTTTTAATCTACACATTGTGATCTAAAAAATGTATAGTTTAAATTATCAATTTGGAACTCATGGTGAGCTTTACAAACCCGAACAGCATCATCCAATCCACTTTGTGGGGTAGTGTTTAAGTGTGCAACCCCTTAAGGGTTGCACACCATATGTAGCCTTATTTATACCCATTGGATTAAAACAAATTGATCTTGACTATTGATTTTTTTAACATTAAAATAAGGCTACCTGTTCAATCGGTTACTTATGCATTTTTATGAAAACTTACCCATTTTTGTGTTCAAAATTTTTAGGAACAAACTTACGCGAATTTTGTGTTAATTTACACATTTTTGTGAGACAACTTATGTGAATTTGTGAAAACTTACGTATTTTGGGAAATCAAAGTTTTCTCCAAGGACTTTCTCATATTTGTTTTCACTTACACATTTTTGTAAAATCACTTATGTGAGTTGTGAAAACTTACGCATTTTTATGTTGTTCTAAATTTTTGGAAACAAACTTATGCGAATTTTGTGCTAACTTATGCATTTTGTGAAATCACTTACGTGTATTGTGAAAATTTACGCATTTTTGTAAACTCAAAATTTTCTCCAATGACTTACTTGTATTTGCGTTCACTTACGTATTTTTGTAAAATCACTTACATAAGTTGTGAAAACTTACGCATTTTTGTGAAATCAAAGTTTTCTCCAATGACTTACTCATATTTGTGTTCAATTACGCATTTTTGTGAAATTACTTATGTGATTTGTGAAAACTTACGTATTTTTATGTTGTTCTAAATTTTTGAGAACAAACTTACACTAATTTTGTATTAACTTACACATTTTTTGTGAAAACTTTCACATTTTTGTGAAATCAAAGTTTTCTCTAAGGACTTACTCATATTTGTGTTCACTTACGCATTTTTATGAAATCACTTACATGAGTTTTGAAAACTGACGTATTTTTGTGTTATTCTAAATTTTTGAGAACAAACTTATGCAAATTTTGTGTTAACTTATGTATTTTTGTGAAATCACTTACGTGAATTGTGAAAACTTATTCATTTTTGTGAAATTAAAGTTTTTCCCAACGACTTACTCGCATTTGTATTTACTTATGTATTTTTGTGAAATCACTTAAGTGAGTTGTAAAAACTTACGCATTTTTGTGAAATCAAAGTTTTCTCTAATAACTTACTCGTATTTGTGATCATTTATATATTTTTGTGAAACCACTTATGTGATTTGTAAAAACTTATGTAAGTTTGTGTTCTAATTTTTGGGAACAAATTTACGCAAATAAATTTTACCTAAATATTAAGGTTAAATTTCATTATTTAAAGAGAATAAATTTCACTAGTTGAAGAATATGAAATAATAATTACTATCAACTTTTAATTACACAATATTAAAATTATAGTAATTTAATAATTTGTAATTAATTAGACAACAAATTAATTAAAATAATTAAATTATCGTTAATTAATTAAAAATCTAGTGACAATCAGTTGATGCTCAACGATGAAGCCACGTGACTTTGTGAAAATTTATGCAATTTTGTGAAGTAAAAGTGTTCTCCAAAGACTCACTTGTATTTTTGATCATTTACGCATTTTTTGAGAAATCACATACGTCAGTCGTGAAAACTTACGTATTTTGTGTTGTTGAAAATTTTTAGGAACAAACTTACAGAAATTTTGTGTTAAAAATTCTGAGTTTTGTGACACAACTTACGTGACTTTATAAAAATTTAAGCAATTTTGTGAAATAAAAATGTTCTCCAAAGACTTACTCGTATTTGTGATCACTTACGCATTTTTTTGGGAAATCACATACATAAGTTGTGTAAACTTATGCAATTTTATGAAATAAAAGTATTCTTTAAGGACTTACTTGTATTCGTGATCACTTACGCATTTTTTGAAAAATCACTTAAATTGTGAAAACTTACACCATTTTGTGAAATAAAAGTGTTCTCCAAGGGCTTATTGATATTTGTGATCACTTACGCATTTTTTGGAAAATCACTTATGTTGTTGAAATATTTAGAAATAAACTTACGACTCATTTTGTGTTAACAAGCCTGAGTTTTGTGACACAACATACGTGTCTTTGTGAAAACTTATGTAATTTTGTGAAATAAAATTGTTCTTCAAAGACTTACTTGTATTTGTGAATACTTATGCATTTTTTGAAAAATCACTTATGTAAGTTGTGAAAACTTATGCAATTTTGTGAAATAAAAAGGTTCTGTAAGGACTTACTCGTATTTGTGATCACTTACGTATTTTTGGTAAATCACTTACATAAGTTGTGAACACTTATACAATTTTTTGAAATAAAAGTGTTCTCCAAAGACTTACTCGTATTTGTGATCACTTATGCATTTTTTGAGAAATCACTTTCGTCAATTGTAAAAACTTACGCAATTTTGTGAAATAAAAGTGTTTTCCATAGACTTATTCGTATTTGTGATCACTTATGTATTTTTAGAGAAATCAGTTACGTCAATTGTGAAAACTTATGTATTTTTGTGTTGTTCAAAATTTTGAGGGATAAATTTACGAGTTATTTCTGTTAACCAACCTGAG